TGACAATAGTTCTTTTCTGTTAATTTTAATATCCCTAGTATGTTTGCTAAAATATCCAAGACAATAAGTTACTTACTCCACAAGAAAAGAAATTTATTAAAGATTCATTTATTAAAGGACGAAATGTATCTGGAAGAAAACCAAATATATTAAATGCTTTATGCGTACGTTGTCAATCTGAGTTATCTGCAGAATTTTCTTGTCTTGAATGTATTAAGCAACATATAAAAAATAACTTTTCTAAATGGACTTCTGGAGATAAAAACTTTGATTTATGGATTCAATATTTTCAACTTAGATATTATGCTAAGACAAATAAAGTTATTGAATGGGTACCTTTTGAAAGATTTCAAAATATTGAAGTTAAAGCAACTGGAGGATTTGGAATTATATATTTTGCTAAGTGGTTAGATGGTTCAATAATTAGTTGGGATACGTATAAACAAAAGTTTTTAAGAGGTAGACCTGGTCCATTTATATTGAAATCCATGAATACTAAGAATATTGAAAACATAAATATAAATTTTTACAAAGAGGTAATTACTTATCGTTATGTATATACACGTAATAATGATTATATGCATAGATTAAGCCACGTTAAATAGACTTAATTAATTATAATTAATTTGTTTTTTTTTAGATATTAATCCATATGGTACTTTCTTTGGAGAGTCCATACATTGTTACGTGCTATGGTTTGACCAAGGAACCAAAAAGTGGCAACTTTATGATGATTTTGGAATACCTTTTTGACGGAGATTTGAAAACATATTTAAAAAATAAAGATATCACACTTTCATGGAGGACAAGATATTCTATACTTCATAATATTACTTCTGCACTTTCTAAAATGCATCATTCAAATATTTTACACGGAGATATTCATCCTGGAAACATTATATCATCTAGAAATTTATGGTGTGTTGGTGATTTAGGACTTTTTAGATTAACAAATGATAACTCAAATAATGAAATCTTTGGTATTCTTCCATATATAGCCCCAGAAGTTTTACTTCATGCTAATTATACAACTGCTGCAGATATTTATAGTGTTGGAATAATAATGTGGCAACTTGTTACTAAACGTATTCCATATAATTATATGTATGATGAAAATGAGATTGCATTAGCCCTTAATATATGTAATGGTACTCGTCCTGAAATTAATTTTAAACTTCCTTCGGATTATGAAGAAATTATGAAAAGATGTTGGAATGCTGATATTTCTTGTAGACCAAGTGCATCTGAACTTTTAAAATTTTTCACGACCAATTTACAAAAGATATATAAAAATGAATTGATTATTCCAGAATTAGATGACAGTTTGCTGATTACATCAGACATTGATATTACTCCAAAAATTTTTAATACAGGTAAATTTAATATATTTTATAATATAAATTGAATGTTTTTATTTTGATCTGAATACTGAAATACAATCTTTAAAATAGAAAAGATCAAGATTCTCTATGAAGCAACCAATAGTTCTGGTTTTATAATACCAATACATCAATAATATATAGTTATTGCATACGGGAACATGCAATAATGGTTTTATTCAATGATTTACTATCTAGTTTATGAAATAAGATCTATAATTTTATTATATTTAAAGTACCATAAAATAATTGATTTATTTTATAGACTGGTCATTGTAAAGCGTTGAATAATACATTGTTCTATTTCCTGCATATTAATTTATATTTTAGTTTTGGGTCTATTTTAATACTAAATTCTTTATTTAACCCTATAAAAATATAATTTATCAAGGTTTCATTCTTAAAATTATATTTAATACAGTATATATGGGACCACCTGTGCATTGGGACAATTATATTATTTTGAGAAAATCACGATTTAAACTCATCACATGATTAATTTTAATAGAGTAATAACGAAGAAAAATTTTAAATTAATACACTTTTTATTAGTAGATTTTACTAACTAAAAATATTTTTAGAAAGATAAAAACTTATAAGCAAATTATTATTATAAAATCTTATATAGTGACTCTCAATATAGCAGATAGTCGAGAATCAAAGTCAAATTTATCGCTTGATTTTTGAGGATCAATTTTTTTGTATCCATATTTTAATTACTCTTTTTATATTAAGCACCTTTATTTTATTGAGGACCGCATTTATTTATAATCTAATAAAAAGTCGGATAACTAATTCTTAAGACGTGAAAAATACTTTTCAAAATCTTTTTTAATCTAAATTTATTCTAGTATATTATTAACAGCATAAATATGCTGAAATTTGTTTTATAAAGGGTCATTTTTATTGATTTTTTTCAATTTTTAAGATAAATAGTGCAAAATTTTAAAATGTATTTTGTTAACGAATACAAATAAGCAAAAAAGATTTTGTAAATATACCGACGAAAATATGACAAAATAAAAAAATAAAATCGAATTGTTAAAAGCATATCTTAAATAATGAAGAATAATTGCAACGTCATCTAAAAGCGAGGGATTTGATGACGAAACGTTCATTCGTGTCGTCATTATAAGCTCATTTATCAGCTGTATAAGTAATGAATCCCACTTATAGGGTATCTTTTAACGATAGTTGTTTTAATAAATTAGTTGAATTTTGGTCACCATATTGTGAAGCTGTCTCTAAATATATTAATCCTAGCTCTTTATCCGGCTGCATTTTAAGCCTTCCATTCACATAAATATTACCCAATTGAAATGTTGCTTTATGATTCTTATTATCGCTTGCCAATTTTAAATAATGTAAAATTTCATTACGTTTCTCTTCTTCGCTAATATTAGGATCTTTTTTACTAAAATTATTAATCAATGAGACCGCGTACCGATATTGTGCATCAGCAGCAGCAGCTTTATATGGTTCATTTTGATCATTATTATTATCAGCAACTTCCTTTAAAAGTTGAATTGCACGCTCTTCATCTTTTTCGACAATATACCCATTAAATAGGTAATATGCCTTCCAATATTGTGCTAATGGATTGCAAAGCTTAGAATTTTCTTCAAAACATTTCCATGCACTTTCACGATCCCCGCTACGATGAAATTCGATTCCTTTGTCAACAGACATTAACAAATGAATTGATTGATTATCCTCATAAAAAATTACATCATCATCATCATCCTTTGAATTTTCAGTGTCCATTTTTATACCAAAATCGAGTACACCCTCTTTTAAAAGCTGTGGAGCATGATGAGGAATAGGGTTATCTGCGACTAATTTTTCAAGTTCGTTATGTAACTGCATAATGTCTATTCGATGGTTTGGTTGTGTCTGCCATGCTGTTTATCCGTTAAGTTAAAATTAATATAATAGATTGAGCAAAATAGAGGAGATAATTAACTTGCCTTTATCAATCATTTCATTAAACTTTCTCTGAATCTTTGCATAATTAACGTTATCATATTTTCCGATTGCAAGTTTTTCTCGCTTACCGCTCAAAACATATTCTGGCACTTGCTTTGTTTCCAAAGCTTTGTAAGGAATTATTTCATAACAAAGTTCCCAAATGAGCATTCCGAAACTAATTGTGAAAAATAATAAGTAACTAAATATAGAACAAAGAAATTTACAATGCCTATAAAATTACCTAAACATTTCACAATTAAACGTATATCCTCCTTTATCGGGATTGTCTCGACACTTTTTGATATATTCGGGAGCCATCCAGCGAAACATTTCTAATTGTTTACGGAATGATAATTTAATAGTACTTTCACTTGTTTCACGAGCATATTTGAAATTTCCGAGTTTTGGATCCAAGTTTTTTGTCACCTATAATTTAATACATAATAACTCATTGATTTTTATTAATTCTTGTATTATTAAAATTTTATTATACTTACAAAAATATTTTCGCATCTAATATCATGATGAAGAATTTTTACTCTGCGTAAAAATATAAGACCATTACAGATATCACGAATAATTTGTATTTTTCTATTCCAAATAATATCATATTTTTCATAAAGCTCTTTCAAATTTCCATATTCGGTCCATTCGAAGATCATATGTTCACTATTATCAAAATTTACAAGACCATAAAACTTGAGAATATTTTGTGAACTTAATTGTCCAAGAATTGCCACTTTGACTAGAATCTTTTATAAACTTGATAGGTTTACATGCAACTTCAGAACCAAAATAATACTTCCTAACAACAGAACCTCTACCAGAAAGTCCCGCTGGGTTTGTCAGATCATTTTCATCGATTCTTTGTAAATGGAAATAATCTGATCCTATATTCAATTTAAGCATTATTTTATCAAGTTTATTATCCATGCCAAGGATGAGTTTCTCGAGTTCCTAATTCAAAAGATGAAAAAAGAATCTTAAAGTACTAAAAATTGATATAATAAATTATTGTATTCCAAACATACCTTTAGATCCTGATCGACTTTTTGGGCATCTTTAGCTCTTTGATTTTCATTAGCAATTGCTATAGTAAAATGTAGTTCTTTCATACAAGTATCAAATTCTTCTGTCAATTTATCATATGTTTGCCTAATTTTATTGACTTCAAAAAATCTTTTAATACCCTCAATCTTTGACACTTTTACGGTAAAGTCTCTAATATTAATTAAAACATTTACAAATTTTTTGAGAGATAAGTAATATTCTTTTTCATAAAAATAATCCTCATTTTCACTTCTAAGCATCATTTTCTCTAGGGCAAATTCGGCATTTTTTACTCGGTCCATCATGATAGCACATAATTTTTTATTGCACTCCACATTCTCATAAATTATACAACCAAAATTTTTACCGTACCAACTATAGGAACATATTGACTCACAATTTCAGCAACAGAAAATGCCTCATGTTCATCTCTTTCAGCTCTATTAGCTTCATTTGCATATGCAAAATTTTCAAATTTATCGACATTTTCGAGGACTTTCAAATTGTTTCCAATATCGGTTTTAAGATCGCACGCTTGATTGATGTCAATAATACACCATCTCATTGTAACATTATTCAATTCATTTCTTTGTTTACTCTTTGCGCCATACATTGAAATCTCCAAATCAAAACCAGTTTCTGAACTGCTTATTATTTTACTCTGAATAACTTGATTCTTATCAATATTTTCCGAATCGAAGCTGGTAATGAAAATGCATGAATCAGGTAACTCATCTTTTGATATAGTTATTTTATGTGGAAGAGATAAGTGGCCTGACAATAGTTCTTTTCTGTTAATTTTAATATCCCTAGTATGTTTGCTAAAATATCCTCTTCCTTTGGCGAGCATTATCCAATACACTTTTGCTCCAACGGGGATGCTGTACGTTATTAAGCAGCATTTGAGCGCTGCAAGAAAAAAAAGACTTCGGCCTTTTAACTTTACAACTTATCGGATTTTAATCCATATAATAATAACATCGAATAAAATGATGTGTCACAAAACGACCGGAAAACCGGTCATGATTACATATTATACGTTAATTCTGTAATTATATGAGTGCCGCCAAGGGAAAATGTCCCTCTGTAAATTATAGTACTGTATATTATTAGTTATTTATCTGATTCAGCCCTTCTGATCAATGACGCATCGGGCTTTCAAAATTTGTGCTTTATAGTACTACATACAATTATTTTTTAGCCTATATGTCATATAATTAAAAGTCCTATGTGTAATTGGTCAGAAGGGCTGAATCCAATAATATACTATAATTTACAGAGGGACATTTTCCCTTGGCGGCACTCATATGGGGTCTTTGCCTTGAAAATCACTCCGACATTTCCGATCGGGTTAATTCAGACAAAAATAAACCCGAGTACCGATTCATGTTCATATGTTAATCATCTTTTACTTTTATTGATTCAATAGTTTATCGAATAACCATTGAATCAGGTTTATTTTTGTCCGAATTAACCCGATCGGAAATGTCTCGGAAGGTGATTTTCAAGGCAAAGACCCCATATAATTAAGGATCTGTGTTTAGTAAGTTATAAATTTAAAAGTCCGAAGTCTTGTTTTCTCTTGGCAGCATTCATTTTATTACGTTAATAAAGACACGTTTTATACTCCTGCAAATTTAAACATCAGATAAATTAAAATATACCTTTTGGTTTTAGGTTTATGAATCAAAGCTCGACATCCGTACTGATTTGCCAAACTAAATCGAATCATTACATCTGATATCCCTTGCATATTATCAGTGACTAAATTGCCAAACATTTCAAAATCGTTGTCTTGAAGAGGCTTCACAAATTTAATATTCACGTATGTTTGATTTTCTCGTTTGATTTCTACAACACCAGTCATGACAATCCGATAGCTATCAGACATTATATCTTCCACAGTTTTTTGTATATCTTTTGACAAAACTTTATATAAAGGGACTAAACCTTCACACCTCACTATCTGTAATTGTGAATGTAATTTATACAACTTTTTTTCTTCTTGAGTGTCCAAGTATTTATTTCTCAAATCGCTAAAATTTCGTAATTGCAAATATATATCGCTGTCCTTAACAATTTTACCGTTAGAATCCATGAAAAAAGAAGTATCCAATCTTTCATTCAAATTCCTCCACTCTCGTAATTTTTCAATAATTTTTGGCTGCATTATAAATTTATCATCTATGTGTTTCATATCAAAAGAAAGTTCATCATTCTTAAGTTCATTTTCGCTGATAGAATTATAGCTCCTTGATGCAGTCCAACCAAGTATTATTTTTTGAGACCAAAGATGCCCGAATTTGTCAAAAACTCGTTTCAAACTATTAAATGGAAAATCATTGTCGATTGCTTCATATACTTTTCCCTTAAGAATTTCTGAAGATTCAATATTATCTAGTTTAATAATCAGTTCGATTTTTTCGGAAACAATAAAGCAAAAAACTTCAGAATTTGGTCGATCATCAAATATAGGATGGAAATTATCAGACAAAAATGGTATTTTATTATCATTGAATTTAATACGATTTTTTAAAGTAATTGCTTCTTTTATGCTAGAAGGTTATTGAAAATACATATAAGAGTTACTCAATGAACGACTTTCAGGTATTCTAGTAAAATTAATCGCAACATCGGTCCCACGCCCTATCCTAGATGGTTTAATGGTTAAACCGTGACGTAAACGTAAATTGTTAACCCAGTCACATAGATGTATTTTTTGCAAACATGGAATCCAATCATTTATGTCACACTTTTTGAATTGTTCCCCCATATTTGGGATATACTCTCTAATAAAAGGATCATTGAATTTTTCGAGAAATTGTCTGGTCTTATCATCATGGAATTTTTCAAGAACTTTACGTAACTTCTGCTTAATCTCATTATTGAGGAGGCGGCATGCTGGAATAATTTTGTTATAAGATATAACGTACCCTTTATTATATTCGTAAAAAGTTTTCATCCAATCCTTTAATTCATGATCAGAAGTAATTTTTTGATTGTCATTTGCACCTGTCATTGTAAAATTATCAAATTTAACTTGATCAAATATTTTAGGTTTCCCCGACATAACTTGATCATAAGCCCAATACACATGGGCTTTCAGCATTTCAATGTCTTGTAAACGTGAGTTGTATTCGACCATAAGTGCACCTCCGATTTCAATTCTCTGGGCTATAAATTCGCCATATTCTTTAAGCGAACCAAAAAGTACTTTACAATCCGATTCCTGCTCTGCTATCCTTAGTGCATCCTCGATTTTTTCAGCAAATTCATCAGTAACTTTAGAACCATATTCAATTTGAAGGAGCGGAATATGTAACTGAATGCTGATTTCTTTTATTTTTGTACTAGAAATTAAACTCATACTCTTTAGCTGGCTAGCTTGACTATTGTTCGTATAAATTTTTATGCATACTTTTTTTTTAAATTTCATAAACCGGATTTCATTGTCATCTATTAGATCTCTTTCACTAGAGGTTAAATTATTAGTATCTTCATGGAGATTTAGCCCTCTACATAATTTCCAATGGTCTAAAAGTAATTTTTTGTCAGATTCTTGCATTATTAAAGTTTCTGTTTCGGTCTCTATTTCATGGTCACCATAAAACTGATAATCATCACCCATGGTATGATATGAAATGGCGTTTTCTCTAGTATCAGTTATTTCATTTATATCTATTGTTTCAAGTATCGTCAAGGCCTTTGAACAATCTGGGCGTTTGTCTAAAAATTAATTCAATGAAAAATTAGATACTTAACAACATTCATTAATGATGAGTGATATATGTTATAAATTATATAACATAAATAAATCGGTCAATTAAAAATTGCATTGAAGAAAATTAATAAAACGTTTCATAATTTATACATTAGGAAAAGAATAATCTTTATAATGCAATTATTGAGACTTATCGAAATTGGAGTAATCTAAACTTGATCGATTATAATGCAAATTCATACCTGGATCATCATCCCAACAATTTTGGTACAGTTCATAGTATTTAACAGGAGTCTTAGGAATAATATCTTCCCTCAAACCTTTAATGACTTGTGTGACTACATCACAACGTGGTATATTTACGTAAGGTTGCCTACTACTGGAAATTCTCCAGAGCAAAACACCAAAACTATAAATATTTGACATTTGATTGATGTTTAATCTTTGAATACAACTTTGAGAATCATTTTTTTGTTCGGTACGGCGTTTTAACTCTCGAGGTTCGATGTATGGAACAATCTCATCAATCTCATCATTTGGTTTAAAAAATACAGTAATTGCTCCGAAATTAGTTAATTTTGAAGTGTTTTCGTGAATAAATATGTTTTTTGGATTCTATAATTAACAAAAAATTGAATTTGTAATTAGTATGCACTATAATATAATGGCATATATTATATTAGCAGATGATTCTGCTAGAATTTTACATAAAACCTTTATTCATTTGATATCTGAATTGATATTAGTCAAAATTATAGTACAAAAATGCTTACTAAATCTAAATGTACTATTTCCTGGCTATGAAGAAAATTAAGCCCACTGGCTAATTGAGTTGCGAATTTTAGTCTTTGAGTCCAATCTGGTGCGTTGTTCTTCAAGTAACATTCCAAATCTCCCTGATCAGCATATTCTACAAGCAAATAAAATTCGTCGTCCGTAGTAGCACCTTCAATAAACAATGACGTAGTTAAAAAAAGAAAAAATCAACCCAATTCAATGCATGAGTCGCTTAAACTTCGATTTTGTAGAATTAGACGAATTTATAAATGAGCTAAAAATTAGTTTCATTTTGATACTTACAGTAAAAAGCCTTGAGAATATTCTCATGGTGCTTTAAGCATGAAAAGATTAAATTTTCATATAATACATATAATTAATTAATTATACAAGCTCTTACCTTAGAAAATAGAATAACATTTATTTCGTTTTCACTAATATCTTCATCATAAAAGTCTTCTAGGTCATATCTTATAACTTTTGACTTTGAATCGCTTTTCAAGTGATAGCACGTTTTCTTTACAATAGCGTTCGAATCCCTGGCAGCACGCTTCAATTCTTTATAATTAATGAAGTCGTTTTTGGAGGTTTCTAACCAAGTATGCAATAGCACCATTTCGCTTTTTAAATTAAGCAGTTACAGCAATCCTGGGTTTATATTATTGTCGTATTTAAATTGCTACGGCCTGAAAATCTATTTTAGTGCTCGAGGTACACCAGGACCCCGAAGAACTCTAAAAAAGAAAATTTTGCGTAGAAATTCATCAAACATTGCATTTTTATATAGTAAAATTTTAAATTTTGGCCTATTTTATACGCCTATTTGGCTGATATTAT